ACACGGATTCGGTGGTAAAGAAAAATATAGTGCAGTGGCATGTATAGATCACAACAAGGCGTACATGATATACCGTTTTATTTTCTTTGATACTGTGGCAAATCATTCGAACATAAATATGCCATCTTACTACTCGTAAGGTAATTGTTTCGTGATTCGTAATTTTCTGTTTTCGTTATAGATTATTAGATACCGCTATTGCGTCGCAATTTCCTACACAACGTCACAAATTTGAACTTGTCTAAATTTCGGACCAGAGTTTTTTTGTTCCTTTTTGCCAATATCTTGCTCTATTAATTCAAATATTAACAAATTGAATTACTTGTACATGTTTCTTTTTTTTCATCATCTACTACTATGTACTCAGTTGTCGATAAGTCGCAGACGTTATAAAAACATGTACGGTCAAAGGTCAAACTGTGACAATCCGTCTTTCGGGTTCCTTCACAAAAGAACAAAGGGCGCTAATTTTCTGTCCCGTCATCTTTGCCCCGTACCTCATTTTATGTAGTAAAACAACGTGATAAACGTTTTTATGGAGTATGGTTCGTTCCGAATTATGGGACATATTCAGTAATGATTAGACCTAGCTGACCGCGCGCAACAATTTTCACCCCCCCGAAAAAAAAAACGTTTGTGAGTAAAAAAAATCTTTGTGGATACTTTCAGGATGTCAAAGGTCAACAGCAAAAAAAAGATAAAAAGATGCAAATGTTAGAGAAAGGGAAGCAGGGATCAAATTACCACGTGCTTGCACCAAGAAGTCTTCCAAAATCAAAGAATATGTGAAAGAACAAAAACAAATTATTGCTTATGACATGTACAAATCACAATAATTATGTTTACATGTACATTGTACATGATATACAGTCTCATTTTCTTCGATACTGTGGCAAACCATTCGAACATAAATGTGCCACATTACTACACAGAAGGTAATTGTTTCGTAATTCGTAATTCGATTTGATTTTCTGTTTTCGTTATATGATTAAATGCCACTTATTAGTTGCAATTTCCCACACAATTGGGAAATAGTTTAAATTTTGGACCAGCAGACTTTTCATGTCTCTTTTTGTCATTTCCTTGCTCTGTTAATTCAAATATCAACAAGTTGAAATACTTCTACATGTTACTTATTTCTTGTCATCTCCTTCCTGACTATGTAGTTGTCGATAAGCCGCAGTTATAACAAGTGTGGTGTTGAAACCACCTTGGCGACGCAGCGTGTTATAGGGTAGGAA